AATGTGCTTGGTGCTCCCTGCCAGAGAAGCCAGGAATCCAGTCCCCAGAGGTGGCAACTTTCCTATTTCTGCATAACTACTGAAGGTGATCCAGCTGAAACTGTAGAGACTAACAGAGGGAGTACGTTCGTGAGAGTATTACTCAGCCACCTCAGTTGGCCAGTAAATCCTGCTGGAATTACACTACCTGGCTGAAGCAGAAAGGTAACCACCCTTTAAAATGATGTATTTAATACATTAGACACAAGATGGACATAGAGCAATCTTTTACTGTTGAAAGATGAAAAACAGTGTGTGAATATACTGTTATTAATTTAGGGTTTCCCAATATTTGGGGAGTTTTGCAATATCCTATATACTTCTCCTTTCCTTTCATTGTCTTACCCTGAAAGTGTTATGATAAATTTAAGAAAAGTGAATTTTTTTTCTGAGATATAACAGAAGACACTCTCAGAATGACACAAAACTATAACAAATATTTTTGAACTAGTTAGTGTCAATTAAAACATGTTTCAAAGTATTCATCATATAGAATCCACACCTCAAAAAAAAAAAAAATGGAACTGAGATTTCCAAGGATAATCTCCTATATAGTAAAGAAAACCTTCTACTTTTACTTATTTAGCTCCATATCCAGATATTGGTATTTTATGTTATGTAAGATTTGGAACTCTCCTTTCCATCCCTCTTTTGTCATTTATTTTTCCTGATGTGATATGAAGTAGAATATAGCAAATGGCAAAAAAGAGAATTAGGAAATAGTTTTAGGGCACTTCTCTTCCAAGTTCTCATCATCTTTATTTCATTTTTTTCCCCTTTCTTGAACTGATCTAAACTGGTGAAACACTTTTAAATGTTGAAGAGCTACCAAATGAATGCTAAAATAGATTAAAATCTCTAATTGGAAAGTCATTGGTTTCTGTATTTCTGATCTTAACAGCTTTCTGCTAGGAACCTGGGGCATGCTGGGAAATCCTTGCCCTCAAGGAATATACTGTTCAGTGTGAGAGATACAGTTCAGTGTGGCACACAATTAAGTGCTAAATGGGTGGAACATGTGAGAGCTCTAGGCTGTTCACAAAATAGATGAATGAGTTTGGAGTAGTCATTGTGGATTTTAGTAGGCAGGTAGAGGGATAAGGTTTTCCTGGTGAGGCATTTGGTATCTGTAAGAGCAGAGGCAGAATTAATAAATGGGTGGGCAGGTAAAAATAAGTATGCTGATATTTACCAATTGAAAGGGTTCATGCTGGGGAGTGGAGGCAGTTAAGGAGCATGCCTTTAGTCCTGTAGGCAACTGTAGGAAATTAAAAGCCTTTAAGAAAAGTGTATTAGGGAGATCCATTTGCTGGTGGAAGGTCCAATAGTTTTGAAGAGGAGAGATGGCAATAGGAGCTACTGGGCATGAGTAAATGAAGGCATCCACCAGGATGGCTGATTTGGCAACATTAAGGAAGGGTCGGGCAGAGGAAAAATGATAGAAGTCTAGACCACGGCAGCGGGGGTGGGGGGTGGAGGGTGGGGGATCAGTATGTGAAGGTCCAATCCTGAGCAGGTTGGAAAATGTTGGTTTCACTAAGACAAAGAAGAGAGGCTGGCCTGGAGAAAACATGGATGTTTTCTGCAGTGGGCCTATTAGCAGGACACACAGGCCCTGAAGTAGATAACTGCCACTATATATAACTGACAGAACTGCAGTGTGGATGCCTCTGCTCCCGGGTGGGTTTGGGTGGGGTTATTAAAAGGTTTTGCCTATGCAGCTTTGTCCCTTTCAGGCAGGAGAGAGCATCTGCTGTTGAGCATTCCCAGTCCTCAAGGGGCCTATGAGCTAGTCAGGAAACATAATTTTAATAGGATTAGCTGAAAGATGAGCAAATGTCAGGTGGTGGTTTGGTAGTATGTCATGGCTGCTAACTTTGACATGCTAAGTGTAACACTATGAAAGGCTTTTATGCTTGGCTCAGAGGCCGAACACTTAGCAAATTAGATCTCTTAATTTTTGTCCTACTCTTACTCTTAGAGAGTGTTACCTGGGGCAAACCATTTAACCTCTCTGTGCCTTAGTGCTCTGTTTATAATAGGAAGCTTGTTGTGGTAGGAGTCCTACACATTTTGAAAGCTACAGATAAAAAGCACTGTAGATTCCCCCCAACCCCACCTCTGATGACTGAGTCAGTCACTTGGAAAGGTCAGCCTTTTCATTGGGTTATTTTAGTTGCTAACTCCCTAAGTTAGTTAATTAGCATTTTTCCAAGATGCTTCTACCAGGCACCTTCTAGGCCTATCCATCTTGTTTTCCCTCTTTCACCCAGTGGCTGTTGCCCTGTGACTCCCATCTCTATGCTCTTGGCTCAAGTGCAGCCATATTGAAGGGGAATTAGAGTTCTGTACTAACACTCAGGGACCTCAGTATAAGGCTATCATGCTCAGTGTAATATGGACCATGTCCTATGTAAGATTCTGCTTTGTCTCACTCTGTCTTCCATATCTAGCCTTTGGATGTCTGTCTTATTCTCCTGAGTCCCCAACACTTGTCCCGTAATCAGCTTGAGGATCTGAATTTGCACCTGGAAAAAATGAGGCTGAGACCGTGCTATCAGCAAGACATTTTCTTGATGCTTGTTATGAGTTCCTAATTTTTGCCTGCTCCTGGGTTTCTTGAGGCTGTGTTCCAGCTGTCCAATGGCTTATAATACTTACGTTCTGTGTGGAACCAGCCTGCTGCTGGCTGCCTTCCTGGCCTGCTGCCGGTTCCATACTCTCCAGATACTGTCTTCTGGCTGAATGTTCATCACGACAGCTGGGTCTGCTTTTCATTCCATGGATGTATCTAGTTCTAGTCTCCACTTCTCTCAGTCTACCTCATCCTTATTACAGTTAATCCTTCCATATTAAACCACAGTGGATGTTTGCTGCTGTGGAAACTGATGTGGTATTGGAATTTTATCCTTGTTTACATCTTTCTTTGTGTTGGAAAGCTTGGGATCACTTCCAAAACTCAGAGAGCTTTCCTGTCTCCTTTAAGAGAAACAAATGAAAACCTGACAATACCTTGTGTCTGTGACCAAGCCCCACAGTCACTACTTTAATTGTAAACTTGTATTATTTAATCTTAATTTTGCTTTTAGACACATTTAAAAATATATTTTGGCTAGTGATCATTCACATCTCTTCATTTAAAGGTGTCTTACTGGAACTCAAGAACTTTGCTGCTATAAAAAAATAAATCAAGGCTGTGGAGGGTGTTCTACAGTGGTAGTTCCAACCTTGAATGTCCACTAGGATCCTCTGGAAGAATTATTTTATTTCATTTTTTGTCTTCTTCACATGGAGGGCTTATCAAAAACAGTTTGCTGGACCCCACCCCACAGTTTCTCTGAAGTGGTGCTTGGGAAATTTGTGTCGAACAAGCCCTGACATGATGTCCTCCAACTACACTAGGAGGACAGCATTTATGCTGACCACAAGCACAGGTAACCAGAAACTGCTAATCAATTCAAACTTTTACCTCTATGGATAGGTGAAGAATGCCGAAAAATAAACTTTGAAATTTCAATTTACAATGAGGATGATTGGGGTTTTAAAGTCTTCTCAACCACTTATTACTTACGAGGACCTGGGCAATCACTTAAATTTTTTTGAGGTGTAGTTTCACTCATTCATAAAACAAGGATACCTCTATGCTGCCCACAATAGTGTTGTATCAAAAGAAATGAGTGTGAAAATATTTAAACAACTGTAAAGAGGCATGGCACTTGGAGGTATTGTGATGGTTTTTCACTACTCTCCTTAAAACGTCACCAGTTCCTTTGGCTTTCTTGCTTCCCTCATTAATTATAGCAACTTTAATCTGGGAATGTGGAGTACTTTAATTGCTATAATAAACTCTTTTTTAAAAAAATTTCATTCAGTGAGATCAGACATGCTCTATAAACACTACACAGAGCCAAGAATGATTCCCAGTTTTTACAGCTATAAAAAGAGAAGTACAAGACCCTATTGTAATTTGGGGTGGAGTCACAGTTAAATCTTTCAACCCCATTTAGATTGGCCCATTGATAAAAACGGCTACTAGCTATAGCACGTTAAAAAATAAAGTCACAGCGCACAAAAGATAACTTGCCTGCTCTATACTTTTATATCACTTGCAACTTCTATTAATTTATTTATCCTTGGAATTACTAAATCCTTCCAGTCTGGGATTTGAGTATTTTTCTCATCCAAGTTGCACAGCTCCAAGGGCCAAAACACTTCCTGCTCAGATTGGGAGCATTTGTGATTTTTCAAGAATTAATTCTTCCAGGCCTTCAGTGAGTCTCTCTCAGACCTTAGCTTCAATTGCACCTAGGTCTTTAACAAATATTGCAAATATCAGTCAGGAGGCTTTTCTGATGGTAAGGTCTATTGATTTCGAGTCAAAAAGACCCCTCTGAGGAATCGGTAAATAGATTTGCCAGTCATCTATGGGGGGGGGTGGGGGTGGGGGGGGTGGGGGTAGGATGGGGTCACCTGGATCCCCCATCCCTCTCCAGGGCGCCCCTCCCAGTCTCGGGGCCGCGTCCGCACGCGCTTCTCCCGGGCGCCGGCAGGAGGCGCCCGCGCGGCCAAGGCGCTGCGCGCACTCGCGGGGAGCCGGCTTTGGGGGCGGAGGGAAAGGAGAGGAGGAGCCCGAGGGGGCGCGGCTTCCTCCGCGTCCCTGCCGGGCGCGGGGTAGCCTCCTTTGCCGGGCCAGGGCTGGCGGCCGGCGGGGGTCGTGGTGGCGGCGGCGGCGGCGGGGGCGCTGGCGGGCCGCGGGTCGGGCTCCGGCCCCGGCTCCGGGTGTTAGGAGACAAGATGGCGGCGGCGCTCTGGAGGCCGGTCTTCTCCTCCTCCTTGCCCTCCTCCGCCCCGCCGCTCGCCGCCTCCTCCTTCTCGGTCTCCTCCTCCCGGTTCGCTGCCTCCTCCTCCTGCAGCAGCATTAGCGACCGCCGCGGCGCCGGCCCGCTCTCCCGGAGCTCGGGAGGGGGATAGACCGGGCAGCTGCAGGCTCCGGCGACGAGGCCGAGCTGGGGCCGGGGCGGGGACGGCGGCGGCGGCGGCGGCGGCGGCGCCGGGTGGGGATGGGGTCGCAGACGCTGCAGATCCTCCGGCAGGGGGTGTGGGCCGCACTCAGCGGGGGCTGGTACTACGACCCGCACCAGGCCACCTTCGTGAACGCGCTGCACCTCTACCTGTGGCTCTTTCTGCTCGGCCTGCCCTTCACCCTGTACATGGTGAGTGTGGGGGCGGGGAGCGGCGGCTCCTCGCCCGCCGGCCCGACTCGCGTCGCGCCCCTGAGGACCGCTGTCCCCTGGCACCCCTCCCCTCCCCTCTGGCTCCCCCTTTGCTCTCCGGGGCTTCCCTAGTCGGAGTCAACAGCAGCCCGCGCCTCCGCCCCCGCGTCCTCGCCCGCCGGCCGGGAAGCAGTCGCTTCCTAGGCCCCTTCTCGGGGGGGCCCTTCACCTGTGGCCTGTCCAGTCTTTTCCCCACGGTGGGCAGACCCTAGCTGGGTGTCCCTCCCTGCCTCCAGCGTCTCGGGGTCCGGCCGAGTGGCTAGCCGCTCCCGGAGCCGCCGCTCTCACGCTGGGCACGCCGGCGTGTTTGCGTGCGCTGCCCGGGCACCCCTGGGCGCCCCTTAACCCGGGGCGCTCCCCGCGGCTGCTCCCCGGGGCGCCCTCCAGCCGCGGTGCCTCTGTGCGCGCGGAGCTCGGGAGCGGGCCGAGGATGTGTGCGCCCTACTCCGAGAGTCACCGCGGCCGTCCCGGCTCTCCCTCTCTTCTAGGTGGTGGTGGCAGATCAGGCTCCTAACTGTCAAGCCTCCAAAAATCATTGTTTTGCTCACCACCGGTTCTTTTCTGTTCAGCTGGGCGGCCAGCGACTGTGGCGTTTCCAGGCCTGCTTTGCGGGGAGGGAGCGGGGGAGATACGGGGAATCTGGCTGGCATTTCGCAGATTTGTTTGGGTTGGTTCAAGGCCTTTGACTGATAGGAACAAGGAAAGTATTGCCTGTTGCTTAATTCAGCACGACCAGTCTCTGAATGACCTGTTTTTAAAGCAGTGTTTTCGCTGAAAGTTTGTAAGCACACTTTTGTTTTAAATCACAGTAGGTGAGGGTGGGGCACTAGGGAAACTGTTGTGGAGAGAAGTGTTATTTAAAGCTTCAGTTAAAAATTTAAAAGTTAACCGGAAGGGAGAAAGGATAGTAACTTTATTTTCGGAGAATTCCTTCCAATGTGTTTCTGCTAACTTTATTCTTCGTGGGTACAGTGAAGCTGCTAGGTTAGAAAATCCCGTAATGCTACTCAGACACGTGCCAAAGGTGAGGCCACCCAATTATTCCCCTAGTGACGCTCAGTTGCACTAATTGGCAGGCAGAGTGCGGGTTTGGGGGAAGATGTGCTGAATTTCACATTCTCCAGCAGATTTTAGTTTTTCATTGAGATTATTTCGAGGGGACTTTCTGTTTGGGATTTACAAAGAGTTATTTTAAAAAATGCTGATAGCTTAGTTTATTAAGGGACTTGTTCAGTCTTGTCGCATTCTGAAAATTTATTATGAAGTGTTATGATTTCAATTAATTCTGGCCTAGGGAGTTCTCTTTGCACCACTATACCTTCTAGGAATATGACATCATTAACGAACAGGTTAATTACTTTGGGTGTAAGAATCCTCAGGCTGTCACAAAGCTTTAATAGTCGATTTCTTTTGTATCCAGAAGAGTTGTAGATTTAAAACTGAGAATGATTTTTGAGATGTTAGGATTAGTTGCTGTGGCCCGGTGTAAGGTTTCTGTGTTAGCACTTGCAATTAACCGTGTGATTGTGGTTAAGTCTCTTTAAATGTAATTAACAAACACTACTGAAGGACTATTAGAGCAAATCGAAACTAAGACATTTAAATTTACCTGCTTCATCTTGGGAGTTTATTCAGTTTAATTGTCAAGTATTTGAGTTTATGGTGTATACTAAGCATTGTGCTGGGTTCTGGGGAAATAAAATTGCTTCTTTGACTGTTGTTTCAATTAAGGCAATTCTGCTCTTCCCAAATCTTTTAAAAGCTCTCCTTGACTCTTCTCTTTTCTCCCTTGATATCCAGTCCATCAGCAAATTCTGCTCATCATTACTACTGTCAGTAGCACCATCTTTGCTCTTTTGGTTCAGGCTACCATTCCTTCCCTTTTGGATTATTGTAATGCTCTAATGAAGCTCACTGCTTCTGTTCATTATTTTCTATTCTCCAAAGGGAAGTCTGAGTGATTCTTTCAGATCATGTCACTCTACTCCTAATGCCTGCCCTCCCATGTGTCTCTGTCCCTACCCCCACAGACATCCACATATTTGCCTGTTTAATAATCTTCCCAACAAGGACTGTTTCTGCTGTCGTGCCTTGCACTTGCTCTTCTCCCTGTCTGCGCGATGCCTCCCCTGTAGATACCTGTGGTCTTGCCCCACTTAAGGTTTCTTATATATGTGAGGCTTTCCCTTAAACCTGTGTAAAATAGCAACTTCCTGAGCTCTTACCACACTATAGCTTCCTGCTCTCTTTTAAATAGTACTTATTGCTGATACATGTACTCATTTGTTAAATGCTTTTGTTATTTCATAAACTTTAATGGGGCAGGAACTTTGTCACTGCTGTATTTGCAGGACCTAGGTCAGTGCCAAGTAAATAAACTCAATGTTAAATGAATGATGAGCAATGAGCAAGACACAGCTTTTGCCTTTAAGGAACTTAAAGTGTAGTTTGTGAATATAAATAGCCAAAAGTATTAGAACTGTTGTGGAAGGGTGAATGACCCTGAACTTTTAATCAAGGGATGGAACCTGGTGTGGGAGATTAGCAAAGAGGATCGTAAACATTTTAGGAAATACAGTAGTACTATAGTATTTTGGTAGATTGAAATATATAATTAAAGCAAAATCTAACATTCTGTGTTAAAATGAAATCTCAGCCATAGGTTATCATTCATATGTTCTTTTATAATAATTACAACTGATAATGACTTTATTAAGTGTACATATAGGTTCTTTATTCGAAGCCCTGTGTCTTTATAAGGCTTAGCTGTTAGTGACTTGTTTTGTGACCTTAGGCGAATAGATGAGCTGGGAATTATACAGGATTCTTTGAAGCCAAAATCACTATGCAGGCTGCCTAAGTTTGTGGAGAAGTTGTGCACTGTAGAAGTCAGATGTTTTTGTGTAGAATTCAGATATTTTTCCTGTCATTAGCTTTTGGGGATGCTTTCAAGGGTGGAATTTACAATTTCTGCAATTTTAGAATTTAAGTAGGAAACTTAAGAAAATTTTCCTTCTGATTACTTTTTATGTTTCTCCTAAGTAAAACACCTCTTTTTATCTTCTTATAATTATTTTTGTACATGGCATGTCACAGATGGTGAACTTTGGGGTGGGAAGCATTTTTGTGTTGTAGAGAACAGATTGGAGTTGGTGTTATCTTGATTTTGAATCTCAGTGTTGTTTCTGATTATGTGTCCTTTGGGCAAGACTCTTCATCTTCCTGTACCTTGAGTTACTCATTTGTGAGATATTTCATGAGTATTTTGCAAGAAAATATTTATGAAATAGGGTATTCTCCTTCAGAATGGCTTGAGTAAATGTCATTTGAAAGAATGTCTAATTATAACAATGTTCCCTTTGTAATGCTGTATGTCTGGAGGAGATTTGATAGCTCTTGATTTATTAAATCAAATCATTATTATAACATGCTGCTCAACATATTATTATTATTGTTTTTTGTGAAGAGTTATATTTGTAGTTGGGTGTGTTTACACACTCCTGTAATCCCAGCAACTCAGGAGGCTGAAGCAGGAGGATTCCAAGTTTGAGGCCAGTCTCAGCAACTTAGTGAGGCCCTAAGCAACGTAGCATGACCCTATCTCAAAATAAAAAATAAAAATGGCTGGGGATGTGGCTCAGTGGTTAAGCACCCTGGATTCTGTCCCTAGTACCAAAATTAAAATGAGTAAATAAAATAATAATAATAGGTGACAAAATAGAACTTTAAAATTTATTTACATAAGATTGAAGCATAGCAGAGTGGTAGAGCACTTGCCTACCATGCAAGAGAACCTGGTTTGATTCCCAGCACTGAAAAAAAGAATTTATGTACATGAGAGGTTCTTATTCTAGTTGACATCACTTGACAGTGATAAAAATGTGTACAAGTGCAAGCCCATTCTTGCTCAAAATCTGGAGTGTGGCCCATTAATTTGTGTGTTATAAACACTTCAGGTAAAATTAAAGAACCCATCAGTATTCCTCTAATTCCCAGCCTCTGATTTGCTTTCTATCTGTTGTTCAAAATCCTCTTGTCTGTTTCACAGGCACCTCAGAGCTGTCATGTCCAAAACCACTCTGAATTCCCCCACTGAAGCCCCTCAACATCCCCAAACCCTTTTTTTCTTACTCTGTCATCTTAGTTAAGGACTTATTTTTAGATGCCAATACCATCCCTCCCCCTCAACTTAGGAGCAGTCTTACCAGTTCCACTGTCGGAATACCTCAGACCTTCCTTTCACTTCCTACTCCATGGTATTTTCTGTCTGTATCACTACCTTAACCTTTTCTCTGCTCTTTGACTTCTGTTCTTGCCCATCTGCAGCTCATTCTCCGTATAAATTTGTTTGTATTACTTCCCCTTTTTAATATTCTTCTATGATTGTTTTTTTGGTACCCAGTATTGAACCCAGGGGCACTTGACCACTGGGCCACACCCTTTGCTCCCTTTTTATATTTTATTTAGAGACAGGAGTTGCTTAGGGTTTTGCTCAGTTGCTGAGGCTGGCTTTGAACTTGGGATCTTCCTGTATCAGCCTTCCAAGCCACTGGGATTACAGGCATGTGTCACCATGCCTATTTCATTCTGTAACTTTATTCCACCTTACTACACAAACAATTTGTATCTTTGTTTACTTGTTTGCTGTCTCAGATGGCTCCCTTCATCTCACTACTTTGTAAGTTCCATGAGGGGAGGGGCTGGTTCTCAATTATAGAGCAGCATATATTTGGTATGTGCTCGCATGTTTGGCTCATATTACGCTCTGAATAAAACTTGTTGAATGAATTTATTATTCTATATGAACCTTCTTTAAGAAAGCAGTCATATTGTCAACTTGTAGAAAAGCTTGTGAGTTTACAAAAATAGCAATTGATTCTTCAATTCTTTTTTACAGATGGGATGCTTTCTAGTTATCCTTTGAGAAATTATTCCGAGTC